GAGGAAATTAGTGAGACATGCAAAATCAAGAGCAGAGCAGAGAATAAAGAAGCTTTAGGACGTCCATAATATATATTGCAAGTGCATATATCAAGATCCTAACCCATCACTTTCAAGACATCATCAAACATCTAATTACTCAGAAATTCCACGACACAAATGCAGACTCATCATAACAGAACAGAGACATTTCGAAAGATGACAAAACACACAACAGTGATCGAATTACATGCGATTTTTCTCCTCAGGAACAACAAGAGCTCCGTCCTCCGCCGCTGTAGGAACCGGTAGTGGTAGTTGTAGAGTAGTGCCATCGTTCTTGGCCGTCGCCCTCCGCCGATCAATCAAACATTTGGTGAAATCGACAGATAAATCAGAGTAAATCTCCATAACTCTCGAGATATTACCATTGATTTCGTTGATCAAGCCAACGTTTCTGGCGACGTTATCAGGGATTCGAGACCGGTGATTATCATTGACGCGTTGGATCAAATCACGGTTCTGATCAAGAACGAGCTGCGCACGCTTGAAGCCATTACTCAGCGTATTCCAAACCTCCACGTCTTCAAACTCCGCCTCAACATCATCGTCGCCGTCGTCTTCGTTCATCTCAAGCAGAGCTCGCATGCTCCGTCTCGGTGCTTCTTCCATTATTCAATTTACAAACATCATCTCTAAGAATCCCATTCACTGTTGTCGTGGAAGAACCAACCGACTTGAAAAGGCGGTTGGTTATTCGTGTCAAGAAGATGACCGAGACAGGATTACGTGAATGACCAATGGGTATTAGATCAAAGGGGCTCGTTTGGGAGGATCTGATTGGATGGGTGATGCAGAAAAGTGACAGTGACATTGTCAAATATATATTTCCGGAGATTAAATAACATATGTAAACCTCGGACCAAAATATCTTAGCTTTTTCGCGTATAGAAAAAGATAAACCTTTAGCATTTGAAAGAAAGCTATTGAACTACAAATGTGCAACTTTCAATAATAAAAAACCTGACCAACCTCAGATTCAGTGTCGAAAAACTACTAGAAAAGCAAAGAAAGTCCTAAACAGAGCATATCAAATTCTTATTTTTGGTTTATTTTTTCTTTCGTCAATGTCAACAAAACTAACTCTGAATAATGTGTGGTAATGTTGCAAAAATTCCTAACTAGTAGTCGTATAATCGAAACAATTGAAAAGCCCAAAAATGGAAACGCCATATTTTTTTTCTTTCTATCTTCTCTGGAAATTGAGGAATTTGACTGAAAGTGCAAATCCAGAGAAGAAGAGAACGCAAAAGCCAACAAGAACAGCAGCAGATACACCGATCATGTCTGGCTTGTATCCAAAATACTGTTCAATGAATTCTTTGACCGTGCCATGGAACATTGGCTCGTTGATCATGGTCTCCACGTCACCAAGCTGTGACAGGATCACTCCTTGAAGTGTCCACGCCACTGGACATATGTAATAGAACCATATCCACCACACCGGAATCAACTGAAGAAACCCAAAAACGAAACAAGATTGTGGTAAAAAGGCTGATTAGTCAAGAATCAAATTTCTTAAGGGGAATACTTACAGGTTTTTGGACGAGGAAACCGGAGAGGAGATTCCAGAGAGAGTAAAACGCAGAAGAGATAACAGCGGCCAAGTGTTGATTTGGGGTGAGACCAACCGCCATCAGATTCATTCCATAGAAGGTGAAGTAAGTTAAGTGAAGGTGAGGAACATGAACACCAAATACAAGAAAAACTTGCCTGCATTTCAATATTATTATTATTATCATATAGTTGATTAAGTTAAAGAAAGATTGAGATTCATGAAAAAGGATCAATCAAAAACTTACTGGCTGTTCTTTCAAAACCAATGGTGAAGTAAGTGATGACACCGTAGAGAATGGTTTGAGTGAGAATGTAAGGTATCTCCACAAGGCCTTGAGCAGCTGCATATGGAATTGGAGCATACATTCCTGCGGCTTTCTCTCTGTAGAAAACTGTTCTTTCTATTGAGACGATTGGTTGTACCGATGAAGCGTTACTTACTCCAAGAAACAGACAAGCTGAGTAAAGAGCTCCCATTACAGTGACCAAATCTTGTGTGGAAGTCCTCTTCGAACCAATGTCCCAGAAAACAGTGCCGAGTATAATCGCAGCCACAGATGTGAAGAGCAGTCTCACGAGATTGTATTCTGGACTTCTCCAGTAGACAAGGTTCTGTTTCCAGAGGCAGAGTATAAATTGAGACAGTTGGTTTTGTGAGTATCTTGAAGAAAACTTTATGGCCTCTGATCCTTCTGGTGGAACACTCAGCTGCTTGATGTTTGCCTCCACTTCTCTGTATAGATTCAAATTTTAGGTTTGAATTTTTCTTAGTGATTGTAAAAATTTAGCTAAATGAGTTGTGATAGTTACCTAAACTGTTGAGATTCCTTGTATAAATCTGCAAAGTCCATGCTAAATCTCTCCTCCAAAGCAGGAGTAGTTACTTCAAGCATCCAAGTTGCTGGATTGTAACCACTTGAGATTGCAGGTACACCATTAATCCCCTGTAAAAGGTTTAGGATTGGTCATAGTTTACTTGGGATACAAGCATCTATATTTCAAGATCAAAGCAGAAGAAGAAAAGGGCAATACAAGTACCTGAAAGTAGTCTACCATAACCTGTGAGTGTTTACCCAATTTCCCACCGTATATAACCTGTCCTCCTCGTTTCATTAGAAGCAGCTGTATTTTTAAGTAAAAGAACACACGGTAAGATCATCAATTGATAACAAAATTCTTGTAATTCAAGTAAACTTAGGGCAAACCTCATCAAAGGCCTCAAAAATGTCAATGCTGGGTTGATGAATGGTGCAAACCACTGTTCTTCCGGTGTCAACAGTGTTCCTAACAGTTCGCATAACAATTGCAGCTGCTCTTGCATCAAGTCCAGATGTTGGTTCATCCATAAAAATTATTGATGGATTTGCTACTAACTCAACCGCAATCGTTAGACGTTTCCTCTGCTCAGTAGAAAGTCCAGTTGTACCGGGTAAACCTACTATAGCATATCTCAGAGTATCGAGCTCAACAAGTCTCATTACTTCTTCCACAAATTCCTAACAAGACACAAAAATATATCTTTTCAGTGAAACTATATATCCACATTATAACCAAATTCGGTAAAACTCATTTGTCCTGACCTTTTTTTGTTCTTTGCTGATATCTTTAGGAAGACGAAGGCTAGCGGAAAACCATAGGGACTCTTCAACAGTGACTTGAGGAGAATGTATATCGTTCTGCTCAACATATCCAGAGATTCTAGCAAATGTTTGTTGTTCTTTTGGGTAACCAGAGATTCTAATATCTCCCTCGGTGTATCCACCTGTCTTTCGACCAGCGAGAACATCCATCAATGTAGTTTTTCCCGCACCGCTTGATCCAACTAAAGCTGTAAGAACACCAGGCGAGAAGACTCCACTCACGTTTGATAACAGTTGTAGTCTTGTCTCTGGTACACCTTGAGAACGCATTTCCTTTAGATTTCAAAAACAAATATCTTTATGTAACCAAAGATAATAAGGACTAATAATACGAAGTGAAACAGGAAGTGAAGTTAACCTTTGGCATATCAACATAGTAGTTGACATTGTGGAAAGTCATTGTTAATGGTTTGAATGGAAGAATCATTCCCTTTTTCTCACTTTTTTCTTCTCTTGGATGTGATACCGAAGCAGTTTGGGTTTCTTCATTGGGATCGTCTAAAACAACTGCTCGAGCTTTTCTTAAAGCTGCAAGAGGAAAACAAAAGGATAGCTTCACAATATTGCTACAGAGATCTATGAGAGATGATCATTAGCCATAGAGACTCTCACGGTTAAGATAAGCCAAGGCGAGAGTGACTATGTTGTTGAAGAGAAGTGCATAACCAATGAGCACCCCGACTCCAATCCAATACCAATTGTTGTCTGTTGGAAAACTTCGTAGCTTTAGAAGGTTGTATCCAATTGTTGTATTCGATAAAGCGGATGGCTGCTTGATGTTTGAAAAGTCTATAGTTAAACACCGTATATTCTAACAAAGTGTTATTATCTAAAAAAGAGAGATTATTGAACACACCGTCATCCACCTCGTGGCTGTGAATTCATTGACCACAATGGCACGTTGCCCATAGGACAACGGAGAAAGCCAAAAACCCCAAACCCACCATGGTTTAATATCATCTGTCAAAAATGATAGGGTTTTAGTATAACAACTTAATTAAACTTCTTTTGTTCATGAAGTAGAGTAATAATCTAACCTTTTGGAATAACAAATCCACCAAGCAAGAACACTGCCAAGATTGCTGCGGATCCGAATGTATTGGCAATGACCATATCCCTTGCTAGAGAAGCCATCATACGGAATAAACCGAGAGCCATTTGATGTACCGAGAAGAGCAGTAACATGTATCGGAAAAATCTAAGAGAACAAAAAGAGATTTTTAAAAGACTGCAAAACAAAAAATGGAAAAGAAGTCAAGCAAAATGTTGACATCCGCAGAAATTACCAACCTGCCTGGCGAGGGAGCAAGTCCCACAGTGTAGTATACCACACAACTCCAGACAACAGCTTCAAGGATAGAATAAGGCACACGCAACAACCAGCTGGCAATAGACCAGGACCAAGCAGGATGAAACGAGTTATCCCTTTGCTTGTAAAACACCGGGAGACGCGATATCATGAGAGGAAGTTCAGAGAAACCATTGAACATCATATGCACTAGGCCGAAGAAAAGGCAAGATAGATACTCGTTGCCAAATGATTCGTTTGTTGGGTGTAGTCTTGTTCTCAAGAACACAGTGGCTGTGACAAATCCCACAAATGCAACCTTTATGGAACACCAAATGTTTCAGATCATCAGAAACTAGTTATAAGAAACTCTATGCAAGTCATGAAGATTACATAAAACCTTACTACTTTCAGGTGAGACTAGAGGTTTAAGCTCACCTACTTCATGAAGGCTATTCATCACTCCAAATAATTCATATACATTTCTGACCATTTGGTTTATTAAAGATTCAAATTGAATTTTATTTAAGAATATTCATTAAATCACATACTGGTGCAAATTAGACACATAACAGCTATATAGTGATGAGACTAAATTTAGAAAAGCAGAAACGAAGCAAGCACTACAAAGCTCAAATGAAGATCTAAGCTCACGTTATTAACAAGATTAATTGGCTAGTGCTACAAGATAAACCCAAAACCCTTGTCAAGGGAACTTAAGAAACAAACACTGCCTTGTTGAGCATGCCTAATATATATGCCGATGCAGCAAAAAGAGGTAATGAAAATAGGTAGACTTATACCTGGCATGTCCTAAAAGTGTAAAGAAATCTGTGCCGATTGATCAATAGTATTTCTCGTTCAAAGCAAGCTTTAAGGTTTTCCCATCCTGATATGGCAAATTTTGTTCTGCATAAAGCTGAAGGATCCGCGGATGACTTATCAAATGGTGTGGCCAGATTGGAATCTGCAGCATGCCCATATTTCGAGTTACGGAATGCAGCCGCTATGTCTGAGACAGGAATGAACTGATAAGGCTTCGAAGGATCTGCCCAGTACTGAGCTTGATCCTTTCTCGAAGTCACCTGCATATATAGCAACATTATAAAATATTAAAAACCAATACAACAAGAAAGTGAAATTGGGTATAAATATTTAAATCAAAACCAAAGAAAGGAGTAAGGATGCATACCTCTTGGAGAAAATCTGCAACACCTTTACGTGGTGGGAGTCGGAATCCAAGAGACTCAAAAAAGCCCACCACATCTTGTCGAGGACCTTTATAAACCATGTAACCTTCTGATAGAAG